TGGACAGAGCTGGAGCTGAAGGACAGACAGACAAACCAACCAAGAGCCGGAGGAGGGGGAGGCTACTGACTTCTTAATGGAAACCTGGCTTTGGCAGAGCTGGGCCCGGCGTCCCCACCTCCTCTGCCAGTTACTGGGACACAGCTCTCTTTGTAAGAGAGAAAACAAACTGAATCCACCCTGGGGACGGTTCTGGTGGGAGCCCCACCCCACAGTCTCTGCACGGGGAGGGACCTTTTGCCAAACTTGTTGAACTCAGGGGACCTGGTTTCCCGATTTCCCCGTTGCCCAAGGTCCCCCAACTTCTCTTCTTGGACCCCAGGTGGAGGAAGAGTCCGGGGAACCCCCTTTCCTGTGCCTGGCCCCGCCCCATCAGCCTGCACACACCCCGAGTGTAACTGCATTCCGACCACTAATAAAGTGCCTATTGTATGGTCCCGACACTGCGAATGGTTTCATTCGGTTTTGCGATGTGTGACTTGGCGGGGATGGGGGAACCCAGCTTCATTGCCCAGTGGGGCTCCCAGGGGGAGGGGGCCGGAAGCCCACTGTTTGCTGGCCCAGGGCTCTGCCTGAATTCCACCAGCTCAGGTTTCTGCTGCAGGCACCTGGTCAACATAACAAAGCCCCCTTTCTGGGCTCTGCTCCCTGGGGTCCAGAAGGTCCACAGCGTCTGGCCACTTCCCGCCCACCTCCTTGGTCACATGGCTGGACACGCCCCAAGACTGGCTTTCTCGCTGGGGGTTGGGGGTGGGGGCCCTAGGCTGCAGAGCTCCCTCCTGGGCACGCCCAACTGCCTGGCAGCTCGCTACTGCCTCCTGATGCCAGCTGCCTACCACTGTGCCTCCTAGCTGTCTCTAAGTGCTCCCTGCCCCAGGCTCTCCACTGTGCTAAGGAGTTGCAGCTGGAATCCGAGAGGGGCAGTTCTGTAGGCCCCTGCCCTATCGGGTCACTATGAATCAGAAGCAACTCCATGGCAGTGATTTTTTATTTTTAAGGCATCATGCTTGGTTCAACAGAAACCCAAACCGAACACCGACAGTGGGTGGATTCAGACTCGGGGACCCTGGAGGACAGGGTAGACCTGCCCCTGTGGATTCCCAGACAGTAACTCTTAGGGAAGTCAGAGAAAAAGAAGAGACCCTTGTTTTAGGCTGAGTTGTCTAGAGAAACAAAACCAGTGGCCCTCATGTACTAGGGGCACCCCCCAAGATAGGGAATTTTTTTTCAAAGCTATATATTTAAATTTTTTTTTTTTTTACCAAAACAACCTTATCTCCTTCAAAGTACTCTCCATTACACTTAATGCATTTGTCAAATCTGCAATTCCATTATTGGAAACACTTTAGAAGCTCGTCTGTGTGGATGGCTGGCAGCACCTCCCTCGTTCTTTTCTTCACCTCTTCTTGGTCAGATCTTTGTCCTTTCATGTCCCTCTGCGTTCGTGGACACAAACAGAAGTTTCACGGAGCAAGGTCAGGTGAGTGAGGTACATGGGGCAAGAGAGGTTTGCTGGTTTTGCCAACTGGCTCACTGAGATGGCTGTGTGAGCCAGAGCATTGTTGTGGTGGCCCTGCCTGCCACAAATCAGGCCTTTTTTTGTCAAACATGGTTACGCAATCTTTTCAGAACCTCTCTAAAGAGAAAGTTTGACTAACAGCCTGACCTAGCGCTACAAGTCAACATTTTCATCCATTCGGAATGTTGACGGATGTCCACAACCAGGTTTCTCATCAATGGACATTTCACCTTTTTTGAAACAAGAAAACCACTCGGACACGAGTGTTCCCCATAGCCCTGTCCTTGTAAGCTGTGTTCAACACCACAACAGTTTCTGCACATTTTTCCTAAGCAGGAAACACAATGTCATAGCCACACGTTCTCTTAAATCAGCCATTAAAAAAAACACAAACAAGGTGAGTTAGTTAATTGTGTCAGCCTGGCCAATAATCACATGTGGGGCTGGTTGAAAGGCGGAGGGATAAATGGGTGGTGAAGCCTCGCTTTTCTAGTTCTCGGGTCTCTTGTTTGTGATGGTTGCACCGGGTGCAGCTGCCTTAGCAGTTCCCTGCTTCAGCTTGCAAGATTGACTTCCTACAAGACATCCCCAAAGAGAAGCCACATGGACCTATCCCAATGCAGCCCTGGGTGCTGGAGCAGCCATGTGGAGACCCCTGCTAGTGCTGAGATGCTTGTTCATTCACTGACTCAGCTTTCCTCCTGCAGTCAGCATCATTGCCTCTGTTTTGTGAGGTGGAGGACTTTGTGGACTGGTGTTGGGCTAATGGGTTAATGTTGGACTTGTGGGCTTGGGCAGCATTGGGTTGGGATGTTTTCGTGATGCACCTTTTCTTTACATAAAACTCTCTTATACATGAGTCGCTGTGGATTTGTTTCTCCATAGTACCTAGACTAATACACAAGGTTTGAGCGAAACTGCTTTTAAAATCCACTGTGGCCAGAGACAACCTTCCCAGGCAACACTACTGGGTGCTCTAACTCAGAGTTGCTAAATGCTCACCTAGCACGAAAAAATGCATACTGTGAAAGTGCCACTCCGCCCAGTGCAGTTCCAGTTTTTTTGTTGTTGGTGGGGAGGGGTTGGGTAGGGGCCCCTCCTGTGTATAAGAAAGACCTTTATAGAAAGAAGTAATCTTATATCAAATAAAGCACCCGGAGCAGTCCAACCCAAGTCAATGGTGAAGCAGGAGGCAGGAGGCTCACAAGCTGGGGGCCATACAAGGTCAGTGGAAACAGCTGGTGCCGACAGCTCTCAGGGTTGGGAGACCCACCTGGGGCCGCCCCTGGAGGGGTCTCACAGAGTCCCAGCAAGCAAGAAGGCAAAGGGGCAGAGAGAGAGGGGACTGGTCCCTAGTGTCTCATAAGAAGGCATCAATCATCAGGCTGTGACCTGATTGACAGGTTAACCTCCACCGCTACACCAGTGCAAGTTGATAACACCTCTAAGTGCCACAGTCCTTGAGGAGATGGATTGACACAACAACAGGTGCAAATACAGCCGCAGTGAGGGGGGCCTGGGACCAGGCGATGTTTCATTCAGTTGTGCATTAGATTGCTGTGAGTCGGAGCGTCATTGACAGCACCTAGCAGCACCCAGGATCACCGCTGGGCACTCCCTAGTCGCTATGCACAACACCTTGGCACTCCTACTGTCTGTCGTCATCTTGCCTGTGATGAAATAAGGCCCAGGGATGTGACACTGGAGAGAGAGAAGTGGCCTCATCGGTAAGAAGCAGAGAAGGCATTTGCCCCAGCCTCCCTGACTCCGCTGCCCAGTATCCAGTACTGACTCTCCAGTCCCCTTTCTCCTGCATCTTTGAGACGCCCTTGTCCTTGCTCTCAGCTCCTTTAGCCTCACCTCCAGAATACAGTGGAACCTGAAACTCCTGGGCCGTCTAGCCATCGCCTCCTAGCTTGTGACCTGTTAGAATCCTAGCCTCTCTTGGTGAGGCTGTGGGCTAGGCATTGGGCTGCTAACAGTTAGGTTGGCAGTTCAAACCCACCAGCCATTCTGAAGAAGAAAGATGAGATTATCTGCTCCTATAAAGAAGACAAAGCCTCAGAATCCCTGTCTATGTAGGACCCCTAGGATTTAGAATAGACTCAGGGCAGTGGATTGGGTTTATACTTGAGGCGATGGTCCCGTTTTGGAGTTGTCCTTTATACTGAGGCGGGGTTAGGGTGGGAAGTATATTCTCTTGAGACACCCCTTACTGGGGGGCCATGGGGCATGTGGCTCAAGTCATCCATCTCCCTTCACGGCCTGCCTACAGTCCTTCCGTTGCTTCAGTCACAGAAGACGGAGGAGAGAAACCAGCAGAAGAGGGGACCTGACTGCTACCAAAAAGATGGGAGCGGAGTGGACCCCTTGGACCAGGGAACCTCCTAGGCCCGGAGGAGAACTATAATCCCAGAGACACAAGGCACAGCAGCAACCAGCTTCAGCAGGGGCAGCAGAACCATGAGACAGGGAGGAGACCGTGCAAAAGCTTCCCAGTCCACGGAGCAAGAAAGCTGAGCACCTCCGGGCAGGGGGCTGGCTGGCTGGTGGAGGGATGCCTCCAGGCTCTTATTGACAGAGCTGAAAGAGCTTCATGGTGCTTGCTGAGGTGGGGCAAGAGCCAGGCCATGTGTTTGGGGGTGGGGGTGGGGGGAAGATGGAGGAGACCTGCCTATGAGCATGGCTGAGAAGAGGTTGTTCTGATCAAAGAACAGTAGCCTGAGTCATTTCTAATGCATGTTCCTTTGCTAATAAACCCAATAAAATAGTCATGCATATGAGCTGTGGGTTCTCTATGACCCCTGCACGGATTTATTCAATCCTAGCTAGAGAGCGATTAAGAGATGAAGGGTGAAGAAGAAAATGAGCAGGGAGACAGACTCGTTGTCGCTGAGGGAGGCCAGCTTTGGAGAAGCTGAGAAGTCTTCCTGGAGGAGGTGACCTCTGAGGGCAAAGCAGTAGTCAGGTGGAAAGCCGCAGGGGCCAGGCTGGGGTCAGTGAGACAGGGGAGGGCGTGGAGCAGTGCTGGGCATGGTGCTGTGGCTTTCACTGGAGTGAGGTGTCAGGATTGGTTGAAAATGTTGGGGGAAACCCTGAGACTGCTTGCTGGGGTTCAACATTTCCCAGGGTGGTTTCAGGGCCCCCTTTCTCTGCGTGCTGCTCTTTCTTGTGTGATAAAAGGTGGGGCTCAAGCAAGGGCCTGATGACCTCAGGAAGGCAGTGAACGGTGATGACCTGGGGAGCAACTGTTGATCAAAAG